TAATCTGTCAGGAAAATAAGAACACTAGCATGTAATGGACTGAATGTTCTTTTTTCTCAGTCGAAGAGAACAGTTCCCTAAATCCCAATAGCACTGGGCTGCGATCTAAGGATTTGATTGAGCTTTTAGTATTTGCCAACATCTTCCAAGATAAAGTATACCAGCAAGCTACAAGAAGATCAAGTTAAACACCTTCTGGGACAAATAAACATCAGATGATTTTCAGTTATTTGTCAAAACATGAATTCAGTTGTTACTTGCTATGTGGCGTTTGTTTTATCCAGACATTGCTTGGTGAGAGTTCTAATTAGAGCTAGTTGCAATTTTATTTGGCAGAAAATGCATTTTCAAAATACAAAAGCTTTTGTGGAGCATGCTGCTTTGGAAAAATTTCTGAATTTGAGAGCAGAACTCCACTAAGACTAGGTGAAATAAACAAGAAAATTTGGAATTTTTTATCTAAAAATGAATATTTGCAGACAACTTGATGTAAAATTTTACAAGATTTTACTTTGGTAGAATGAAAATAAATATTAGAAGTTCAAAAGGTGCCATGAAATAGCATTTTTGTTGTTCAGATAGTTCAAGTTCCACAATACTGCTTCTGCACTGCTGAACATTGTTCCACTGTACTCATTTTGCAAATACCTTGACACCTCATTTAGTGTTCCTGAATAGTTTGGATTGCGTGCAGTACAAAGCACTTCACCTGTAAGAGCACGTGGTTCAGGTCACTGGTTTAACAAAACTTGTGACAATACTCCTGTTGCTTCTGCAATTTTCTCCTCTCCCTCCAGATTCAGACTACACACGTCATCATTATTTTTACCCATGTTCAGCTTTGTATTGATATAAGCGAACAAAGCATCTGAAGCTTTCTCCCTAAATCAGTAGTAGCTATGAATCTGTTAGTCCTCTTCACCAAATCTTTGACAGCTCTCCTTTTCCAGATCAAAACTGAACTCATGTAAGGTTTAAGAATAAATGGGGTATTAAAATTCGAAGTGTCTCATACGGTAATATAGCTTTTTCAAGAGTAAAATTGCCTTGCAGAGTTAATATAACATAAAGTAACTGAAAAATTGGAAGGTAACAAACTATTTTTCATGTTCACAAGCAATGACTTACATTTCAGTGGGAAAGATTTCAGTTAGACTTTAGGAAAAACTTTTTAATTGTGTAATTAGTTAAGCACTAGTAGCACAGTTAGAGCAGGAGGCTTGTGGTGGCGTCATCATTTGTATATTTACAGTGGGAATGGATAAGCATTTGTCAGGAATGGTTTAAGTACATCTGATTCTGCTATCAGTCAAAAGGACGGATTTGAATACCTTTCAAAGTCGCTTCTTTACTGTTTGTGCTTCTTTATCTCGTGATGGTGCCGCCTATCTGGATTTACTTAACCTCTGACTGCTTCCTGGTCATACACGCTGCTTCTACATGCTGAGATCTGTTTCCTTCTAGAGGAGCATAAAACCAAGACCTGAAATTGCATTTGAAGCTGACCAAATACAAGCTGATGTGCTCATGGCAGCATGACCCTGAGGAAGGCAAGCAAATGCGTTTTGCACTAGCTGGCCCTATACTATCTATTACTGAATATTATCTCCACATTTTGTTTCATATAGTAACGCAGGCTTGGGTTAACAAAGTCATGGACCATGGTGGATGTCAGGAACAACAGAGTAAATTTCTTAGCAAGCTAAACATTCCAGAAACTGGCACAATTGTGCCTTTGATGGAAGCAGAAGACAATTTCTTGGCTAACTCTTAAGTGTTTCTCCTTGCTTACCAGAAATCCTTCTAATATTGTGCAGTTTCATTCAGTGGCAAATTTCCTGAAGTCAGGTTGTCATTCCAGTAATGACAGTACTTGTAGCTGCTGAAAAAGAGAGGGGTAGCTGCTGAAAAAGAGAGGGAGATGGGTGTCTGTGGCATATTGTTAAATCTGTCTGAACCCTTTGCGTGTCATTTGCTTGTACAGTGGACTCAGCTTTTCAGTGACTGAAAAGCCGGTGACTTTGGACAGATCCCTCTAAAACCCTGTGAGTGAGAGAAAAACAGAAAGAAGCTGCACTAGTGAGGAGAATAACTGTGACCACTCTAAGATGAGGCTATCTATTACTGCCAGATCACCCTTCTGCACTGATAGGACTTTGTCATACTACCAGACATTTTAAAGGCTCCTGGAGAGATGCAGTCATACAAGCATGGAGATCTTACCCATGTCTATGGGAGATAGATTGTGAGATCTGTAGGACGTTGGTTATGTCACATGCTGTTGGAGCTCAGGGTTTACTAGTCACTTGGTCATTTATTCAGGATCAGGATGCTGGAGCTCTGGAATGAGCTGAAGTTCACTTCAGGGTCAAGTTTGTAAAAATTGGTAAGAGTCAAGTTTATTTTGGATTATTTCATCGTTTCATCAGCAGATTTGACAGAAATGTTCCCCTAAAGGAGCCAGTACTTGCTTCTGTTTATAGGGAGTACTCCAGAAAGTGCTAGTGGAGTGGTTATAGCTCTCTGCTATCGGGGCAGCCATCTCAAACCTTGCTTTGATTTCATGTGGAAACTCTCCCAACGGTAAATGGATATCGGTAACTTGAGCTGAGCAGTCATAAGCAGCTGTATGCAACGCTGCCCCGTGTTTCCCTTGTATGCACTGGCTCCAGCAGTGGATGTGCTTCAGTAGTGCTGACAGGATGGGCTTCAAGAATTCCTTGGATCTTTGCACTTTTTTGATCACTGATCTTGATCATTGCCAAGTAAAGAAGCAATTAAATATGAAAAGGGTGATTTGGGGGCTCAGTCCTGTGCGATCCTAGCACTCCTGCACATTGTTAAGCCAAAGGTACTCAGCACTTCTCAGGATCAGATGCTGGAGGGAAAAAAACCCCAACACTTGGAGAGATACAGAGATACAAAAAGTGAATTTATTGTGATTATTGATTGAATAACTAGCTTAAGAGTAATTGAGGACAAGGTCAGAGAAATGAGGACACTTTAACTTCTTTGGGGGCAGTTGCTGTAGCACAGATTTTATTTACACTATCTCCCGCCAGAAAAATCTATAGACTACTGGTGTCAGTTTCTAGTGAACCACAGACGGCTCTGATAGGTGCAGTTGCAACGCAGGATGTGACAAATCCAAATGTTTGATAAGCATTGAATGCCAAATACTACAGTTGTTTTTCTCTGACTAACAAGTATGGATGTGTGTCAGTGTGAGACAGGAGCTTGAAAGCAAATACGGTAGCTACAAGATGAGTGGGAGAGATGAGAACTTAATGCTGTCATTAAAAGCAGCTGACAGCTCAGGGAAGAACAGAGAAACAACTCTGCGAGTGTCACGTTTTTAGTCTTAGGATATTTTTTCTTTCATCCTTTACCACTAACAGCATTTACCAAAAGACATTCGTTTGGGGCTTTTAGGGTTTGTTTCCTTACAGCATGCTCTACACTTACTTTCGTCCTTCTCTGTTAGCAATATTAAAGTCATCTTTGTAACAACTACTTGTGATGTTCAGAGGAACTAATTATGACTCCAGCTGGGAATTAACAGCAGAAGTAATAAACTCATACCTTACAGTTTTCATGTGAATGACTTGATAGCAATATAGCAAGAAAAGAAAGAAAACTAGGGCTCAAGAAGTAGAAAGAAGCTGTTGTAAAACATAGGTGTAAAGCAAAGTATTCCTGTTGGCAGGTTCGTCCAACTGAATCACGGCAAATACAAATAGAGTCATACCAGAAAAGATTCCTGGAGCTAGTTCTTCATTGTCATTCATTCTAACAAAGGAGATAGATTGCAATGCAAACTGTGGAGTTTGGTGACATCTTTGTAAAATTATCCCAAAGATATGAGAAGAAAGCATTGGATGAAAAAGAGGAGAGGCCAAAGTAAATCAGCAGGTCCTGGACATACTCAAAACGGTGTCAGCTACCATTGTGCTGTTTTGACAGGAGTAACCCATTTGTTTATTGGTAACTGAAGTGGCTTCTTCATGTGCATACTAACAGAAGGATCCGAAGGCTAAAATGATGATGCTACCCACCAGTACCTTGTGTGGTTGTATTTTTGGGTGTCAGTCTCCACAACTGAGTCAAGTCAGAGTGAGAAAGCATCAGGTCCTGCTTTCACCGTCTGAGGCACTGCATCATCTTAAGAACATGAAGGCTCAGACCAGACTTCATCTGGCCCATACACTATCTCTAACGGTGGCTAAGAGTAGATGTTGAGAAGAGCACAAGAATATGTGATCCCACATCACCTTATAAAAACCCTTGGCCTTCCCCTAGAAACTGCCAATAAAAACTGAGTACAGCATATTTATGTTGTTGTGAGATGGGTATTACCAGACTGAGTCCTCCAAACCCATTTCCCATTTAAGACAATATGACACCTGCTTTCAGTCAAGACTGGTTTGGGCTGAATATGACATGTTATGAACAGGTTTGGTTTTAGTCAAGTTTGTTTTTTCTTAAGAAGTAAGTCAATATATTTAGACATGTAGTAAGGCAAACTACCAAGCTCCATTGCAAAACTCTATTTATTTATAAGTTATGGAATCCTCAGTTACCCTTAAATACAAATAATAAACAAGCAAACACGACTTGTTCCTAAGAAAAAGGAGAATGATTAAGCGAATGAGGTCTTGCTGGAATCATTTGAATTAAAATCACTATTTTATGTGATCATTCACTTTCATCAAAGGAAAACTAAGTCCCTAACCCTGCAATTTATGATATACAGGGAATCTGGAACTCTCCTGAAAATTTTTTGACGATCCACTTGTCAATGTAAATGATGAGGGCTTAGTTTTGGAAATCTGTATTCACATAAAACAGGATCAAATATTATTTTCTAATTTTTTTCTATTCACATATCTTTTCTGCTGTTCCTGTGACCACATCAGAATGTTTAAGTAACCTGTTTTGTCATGTGTGAAAATATCTGGGTGCATGAATACAGTGATATTGAATTTCTTTCTGAAGAAAATCTATTCTCCAGGGATTTTCAGCTCAGCATGGGTGAATAAGTGATCATGAGGATCAGGAGCTGGTGTGAAGAAGTCTCTCTCCTTTTCCTTAATTCCTGATTGATTTAGATGCTTCAATATCATATTGTTCATTTTCTTAAGCTCTTCTATATTCTTCTTTTCAAATATTAGTCTGTTTGATAGTTGGTCCATCCTGTTCCTAGTTTGAACTTGAAAAGGAAAATGCACCACATCATTACATTGCCAACGTTTAAGTCAAAAGCATTGCTGTCCTCTCTTGCATCCCTGTGG